ATGGATGGATGGATGATATCATTTACCCTGACCTCTCGCTTTTGGCGATATACAGGATACAACAACTATATATATCCTTGTATGTACACGTGTAATGTCCCACTTCCTGAAAACGAACTTGGAGCCTCGTCAAGGCCTATCGTGGCCCAGGTGCCGTTTAAGTTATTAGGCTGCCCTCATGGCGCGCGACTTTTGAACCTTTGTGACGCCTCAGCGAAGTCTAGTACGGCTTTGACCGTCCTAGCCCGCGACACGATGTCTGGCTTACCTCTCCTACCTTCGGTTGAGCCTCCCAGCAGACTCGACACGTCGTTGAACGCGTCCCCAGCTTCACGTCTTAGCTCCCTTCGGATTTCCCTCAAATTTGGGCAGTCCACCAGCACGTGGGTGACTGTTTCTTGCGCGCCGCACACGCACTGATCATTGTCGCGGAAGCCGAAGGTCTTGGCATAGGTGGATAGCCAATTGTGGCCCGTGCGTAGCTGTGTCAACAGGTACGCCCGGCCCCTGGGCAAATTCCCATACAGCTTCCTGGTGTAGGTCGCCGGTAGAGTGCTATCGATTTTTCGCAAGTGACCGCCATTGGTTGATGCTTTCCATTCCCGCTCCCATTGAGCGCGGATCTTGTCCCGGATAAGCGCTCTCTTCCTTGTCAGTAAAGGGCGGAAGGGGTGTGTTTTGCCCGGGCTTGCCGCGTCTTTGGCCAACCGATCTGCTGCGTCGTTCCCTGGATCGTCGCAGTGTCCGGGTATCCATTGGAGGCGGAGCGCGATTCCCTTTGCTTGAACCTCTGCGGCCGCCTGGAGGATCGCGTGGATGATGCGTTGTCCTGACCTGTTTCCTGGGTTTTCGATCGCCTGTAAGGCTGACGTGCTGTCGCAGAGGATCGTTGCCGTTGTTGTTCCATTGTGTTCCGTGCTTGGTCGCTGATGGCTGATCTTGAACACTGTACTGATAGCGTAGAAAATGCCTATCAGCTCTGCTACGTGAACCGACCACTGGTCCATCGGTCCTACTTGGACCTGTTTGGATTCGACAGCCTGTAGGTCCTTGTCGAGTGCTACAGCAGCGGCGCCTAGGTGGCCTTCACGTCCCGAGGCATCAGAGTAGACCACGATGGTCGATGCGGACCCTATGGTCTCTGCCCGTTCTCTTGCCGTCTCTCGGTCTAACCCGATCTCGATCTCCGTGAAGGACTCGACTCGCCACGGTGGCAGCGGTCGTGGGTCGATCGTCTCTAGTTCATCTAGTCTTTCTAGGTTCATGGTCTTCAGGGCTTCCGCCAGTGGGAAACGAGCGTACGACCCGACATTGTTCCTACGTTTCTGGGCTCGCCGTAGTGTATCCCAAATAGGATGATCGCGCGGCAGAGTGTGAAGGCTTGCAATGGTGTTCTGCGCTCGGTGGCGGAGGCGGAGGTGCGTTGGCAAAATATGTGCTTCTACTTCCAGAGCCGTGGTGGCCACTGTCCTGAAAGCTGATAGGATCCGGATTAATACGGTTCTCTGGACTGTGTTCAAGTGTCGTAGGTGAGTCTTGTCTCGCAACGGGTCGTGCCAGACCGTCGACGCGTAGTCCATGACCGGCGTTACACAGGCTTGGTAGAGCTGTCGCATCTGTTCTGGGCGTAGATGCCGCAGCCCGCCCAGAGCAATACTGACTTTGATTGCGCGTTTGATTGCTTGCTGGACGTGTTCTTTCCAGCGAAGCTCCTGGTCGAACACCACCCCTAGAAGCTTGGCAGTGGGCGACGGTTCGATTGTCTTCCCGTTCATAACCACTTGCCCCTGAAGCTGTTCGCGTCTTTTCCTGGTGATATGGATCAGTTCGGTTTTCTCGGCTGCAAAGCAAGACCCAGTTCGACGGGCCCATGCCTCAATGCGGGGAATATCTTCCGATTGAATCTTGGCTAGGTTCTCTTCGGCTGTGCGTCCCGCACGCCAGCGAAAGTAGTCATCGATAAAGGCGGATGCACCGCCGTGAGAGTCGACGGGTTGGTCGACCAGGTCGGAGTTGAAGAATGTGAACAGGATAGGGGAGAGCGGCGAGCCCTGTGCAAGTCCCGCGTTCGCTAGTGGTGTGGCCTCGGTGCGGAAGTCATCAAATCCTATGCTGGCGTGGCGGTCGCTCATAAAGCTCACAATCCATTTTCTCGCCACGGTTGGGACTCTCCTTGCCCGGAGGCAAGCGTCTAGGCTCACTTTGTTGACTCCATTAAAGGCACCTTTCAAGTCAAAGGCCACTAGCGTAATCACTTTGTGTTTATACCACGCCCGGTCAATCGCATTAGAGAGGACCAACAGGGCCTGTTCAGTCGTTCTGCCTGGTCGTCCTCCAAACTGGGTGTCCGGTAGCAGGCCGTGCTTTTCAGCGAGGTACGACAGTCGTCGCGCCATCACCGCTTCAAGGAGTTTGCCTAGAGTGTTAAGCAGCGAGATCGGGCGATAGGCCCCAGGTACTGAATAGTCAGGTTTCTTGGGTTTCCGCAGCACCACAATCTTCGCGCTTCGCCATCGCTTCGGGTGGTATCCTAGATTGACTGACGCGGTGAAGATCCCTGTGATGTAGACCTTGAGGTGTCTCCACAGCTGTTTCCATACCAGCGTCGGCAGGCCGTCTTCACCAGGTGCGGTAGATCCTTTTGCGGCTTTGAGAGATCGTTGAATCTCAAGCTCAGTGATAGGTTGCCACGGAAGTGCTAGAGGTGCTTGGGCGGGCAAGTCCTCGTGGGGTTCGTCCATCTGCGGGAAGAAAGCGTCTAGGAAGGCCTGCGCTTTGTCCTCGTTTTCTATAAGCTCGTTGGTACCGACGTGCAATGCCGGCACACATCCCCAGGCTTCTCGTGGTTTCATATAGGTGGCTGCTTTCCATAGCTTCCCTTCCCCGGCTTCGTCGAGGAACTGTTTCCAATGTGACGCCTTCACCTTCTCAATAGTGCGGGTCCATGATCGTCGTTTGTGCTGCATCCCTTGAAAGAGGGTTATGGAGCGGGCGTCGTGTCGCCCGCGTTCCGCACAACTTTCTTGCCACGTCCGGCGTAGTTGATTGACCTCGGTCTGCTGTATTTTGAGGGCTGGGGTGAACCAGCGTTTGGAGTATGGTGTTGGTCGTAGGTCGGGAGTGTGTCTATCCACCGCCCTGGCCGTCGCCTCTGTGAGCTTGTCGACTGTCTCATCTAGCGCCGGTCTCGTTTTCACCTCCTTCCATGGGCCCAATTGTCGGCGTACGTCTTCGGCAATCTTACACCAGTCTGCACGGTCGTAGGCTTTCTTTGCCTTAGCGGCGGGCTGGCGCTGAGATCTTAAATTCCATTCAGAGTACGTTGCGCGGTGGTCTGACCCGTAGTTTTCGTGGTAGAGATGGCATTTGACGAGCAGGTCTGGGCGGTTCGTTACCGTCTGGTCGATAGTGGTGCTCTTCCCTGGGTCGTTAAAGGGCCAGAAAGTCGCTGTTCCCCGTGGAAGACAGCTATGTAGGCAGTGCGCTTGAAAGAAGTTGATTAATTCGCTTGCGTCTTCAATGAATCGCGGTTGGATATGGTTTCCGCCCCATATCGGGTGATGGCGGTTGAAATCACCTGACAAGACGACGCTTCTTGTCCTTTGGTCGTCTTGGGTGTTGGCTATAAGTGTGTTCTGGATTGCCGTGAGTGCTAGTTCTGCCGACGTCTCGTTCGGCGTGAATAGCGGTACGCATGCGAGGTAAACTGAGAAGATAAGAAACTGAGAGTCGGTTGACCAAATTTTGATAGCTGTGACGTCCGGGTGGTCGCAGGCGATCTGTCGATGGGAAGAGGTTGAGACATTTCGGTTGACATAGATCAGACTGCGAAACCGACCTGCCTCAGTCTCGGTGGTCGGCCGGTATAGCCGCCAGGCGCTGTGGTTGACGTGTGTTTGATAGGCGGTGATCGATGGTTCTTGGATTAGGAGTACATCCAGATCCTGACTCTGGTGGTCGTTGATAAGCGCTTCCATCCTCGGTCCCGATTTCATGATGTTTAGCTGTAATACGCGTAGGTTTGTCTCTAACATTGGGAGTTAGAGGTTGCCGGCGTTAGGCACTGGCGATCACTAGTTGGGTGTTCACCACCACAGTCGAGGCATCGGGCTCTCACCCCCGGGGGGCACCGTTCCCGTTCATGTTGGCCAGCGCAATGTCCACATCGAGGTGTTTCCTTGCATGACCATGCGAAGTGCCCAAATCGTTGGCACCGGAAGCATCTCTTTCTTTTTAGTTCGCAGCGTTCCACACTGCCGATGAATCTCCGGCCAACGAGGAAGCCCTTGTCTAGCAAAAGATTGGCCCCTTCCGTGGTGTCGAACCAGATGCCGAGGGATGCGAACTTCCCTAGCACCTTGTCTCTCTTCTTAAGCCATGCCACCTCCTCGATCCGGAGTCCTAGCTCGTTTAGGTCATTTTCTTTCATGATTTTCTCGATCGCCTGTGAGTTGGCGTTTTCGAGGTCAAAGTCCTCAGTCGGGGTCCGGTGTACCACGACACCGAACCGCGCCTTGACTAGTTTCGTGTTGTTTCCTAGCTCGTTCAGCCATTCTGTGTTGTTGCGGGCCGCTTCCGCCGACTCTGTATCCTTAAACCGGATGACATATCCAGTTTTGGTGGTGCCAACCCCGGCTACTTGGGCGTCTTGTGTGGACGGTGCGTTCGATAGCGCCGTACGGATATAAGTGTTTACGGTCTCCGTTGGGAGATATCGCCCAAAGGTGTTTTGGTCGCTCTTGTCGTTGTCTCTCGGATCCACAAAGGACCGCTGAGTGCTAATTCGGACGCAGTTCCGATCTTTGTCTGTGCGTTGGTGTTTTGGTTGAAGAGGCGGGTGGCTCGCTGCCACTGCGGCCCACGATTTTGCCACGGGTGTGGCCGGGAGCGCATCAATTTGCGCCCGCAGGGCTCGAACTTCCTCATGGAGTTTCTCATTCTGCGTTTGGAGGATGTTCTGGTCGTGCTTTACTTCAAACAACTCGTCTTTGGTGGATTGGATGAGCTCGGTTTGGTAGGCGATCGTTTCTTTCAAGCCATCAATCATTCGCCAGATGTCCCGAGTCGTGACGCGTCCGCTGCTGTCTACGGAGCTTGTAGTCTCGGTAATTGAGCGAGCTGCGTTAGAGTAGCCATCGCTGAGGCGAGCCTGTCTTCTGGTCCGTGGCGCAGTAGTCGAATCAAGGTTTTCCGGCGCGTCAGTCACTGCCGTTCCTCGCGTGGTTGTGCGAGAAGGCTCGGGAGCACCCGCATGTGGGTCCGCCATTCCTTCCCTCTCGGTACACAACAACAATTTTATATCGCCTTCAGGTCGATTCGATTGGTTGTCTCGTATTCCCGCCGCTCCCAAGAGTACAGTCGTTCTGACCTGGTACAGTCGATTTCCACAGGATACAGTAGCTGACCCGTGTGATACAGTAGTGATCAGTCTACAGTACTTCCCGAAACTGGTGTCTGATGGTACCTTGATGGTACAGCCCCTTGTTTACAGTCCCCCATATACAGTCGATAGCGAAAACAGCTTCTACCCTGATGACTGTTTTTCTTTTCTCGGGCCCCGCTGCCAAGGGACTGGTGCATGGCTTTTACTCCACTACTATTACAAAAATAGATACAGCTCACGAATATGACGATACAAATACAGTACAATACAAGTGCCTTACAAAACGACTTTGTTCCTATTACAGCTTGTCAGAATCCCCAGTGTAGGTGCAAGAGCAAGAGAGATCTGGTTCGTCAATAGGCAGAATGGCTAAGAAATTATGTGAAGGAAGCTCCTTATCCCGCTCATTTACAGCCAGTTATTTCTGTATACATGTCCAGTCAGACAAATAGTGATAGATAGACAACAGGAAGGCATCAAGCTGATTTGTCCCTGTACCGTATAACAGTAGCTACTGGAGCTACAGATTCCAGAGATCTATGGGGCCTTTGATCTTATGAGGGAGAGGGAGGGGTTTAACTGATTTGGGAACCAGACGTACTAGACGATTTCCACAATCCTATCGTGCCCTCCATAAGACGAAGCTTGTGTGAGGCGGCAGGTTCAATAAAGAAGTCCATTCATTCAAGACACTAAGATGGGGAGAAGAGAGGAAGACCTGGTCTTGCTTGTTTACTTCCTGCACACAGCTCCTTCCAAACAGTACCACCTGCCTCTTCAGGCCTTCTGCCAGCCCAGCTAGCGTACATACGCCACAGCTTGGAGAGCATTTCCAGACATTTCACCTTGGGCGTTGGCCTCGGCTCCTTTCTCTAGCAGCAACTCGACAATCCTATCGTGTCCTCTGGAAGAGGCAGCTTGAAGAGCATTCCCATAGCGTCCGCCTTGGGCGTTGACCTCGGCTCCTTTCTCTAACAGCAACGGCACGACCCTATCGTGCCCTCCACGAGAGGCAGCTTGAAGAGCATTTCCATAGTCTCCACCTTGGGAGTTGACCTCGGCTCCTTTCTCTAGCAGCAACTGCACAATCTTATCGTGCCCTCTATAAGAGGCAGCTTGGAGAGCATTTCCGAAGTGTCCACCTTGGGCGTTGACCTCGGCTCCTTTCTCTAGCAGCAACTCCACGATCTTATCGTGCCCTTCAGAACACACAGCTTGAAGAGCATTTCCATACTCTCCACCTTGGGCGTTGACCTCGGCTCCTTTCTCTAGCAGCAACTCCACGATCTTATCGTGCCCTCCATGAGAGGCAGCTTGGAGAGCATTTCCGAAGTGTCCGCCTTGGGCGTTGACCTCGGCTCCGTTCTCTAGCAGCAACTCCACGGCCCTGTCGTGCCCTCCATAAGAGGCATCTTGGAGAGCATTTCCATTCTCTTCATCTTGGGCGTTGACCTCGGCTCCATTTTCTAGCAGCAACTCGACAATCTTATCGTGTCCTCTGGAAGAGGCAGCTTGAAGAGCATTCCCATAGCGTCCACCTTGGGCGTTGATCTCGGCTCCTTTTTCTAGCAGCAACTGTACGACCTTCTCATAACCATTCCGTGAGGCCGAGATGATAGGGTAGGCTCGGGTACCATCGGTCGAGTTGATATGTTTTCCATCAAGAGACAGTAGAAATTCAACCTCCCGCTCATGTCCGTTAAATGATGCCAGATGTAACGCAGTCATTGACGGCGGATCTCTATAAGTCTCGATAGCCTTTCAAAATATAGGGAACCACAATGAAAATCCTTTCCTCCTCATATCGTACATTTGCCGAACTTGACTGGTTACTTCTTGGTCTTGGGTCAGACTCATCTCCCGTTTGTGGTCCGGCCAATACAATGCTGAATAATCTAGAAAGCTTCGAATGTTTGAGCATGGATCATCATGATCTTGATCCAGATCTTCCATCAATAGGTATCGTAAACAGATAACAGCCATTTGATCCTCGGTGTCAGTCAAGGTCCACGAGTATAAGTAGTTGACACTATTGGAACTACTCTTCTTCACCAGGAATTCTCTTGCTGTCTGATGAATCAAGTAGATCTTGGAGTTATTGATGAAAACAAAAAGGCCACATAATCGACGGAGCTTTTTGTCGATCTGGGATGATTCAAGTCCGGCCTTTGCTGCAGTTTGGGCTTGTGGGGAGGTGGCAATACCGAGCGCCATGGCCATTTCCGCCGTTGTTAAAGGGCGCCGTGCTGCGACGATAATTTGTAAGATCTTCCTCGCAATGTCCACTTGGCGGGAGGGCACTCGACTAAGAATCTTTTCGTATGCCTCATCTACTGATTGAGGTATCACTTCGATTGACTCCTCAGCCGGGCGAAGGCTGTCCTCGAGTGTAGATTGAATATCGTCCATGGCTAAATGTAGCCAGAGATACGTACGGTGCTCCATTTGCAGAAGCTGTTGCTCCAGTCGCTTCTCTGTGTCCCGTGACAACGCCGCTCTTTCAACGAGCTCCTTTACTCGTATCTTCACGACAAAATCGATTTCTTGGTGGATCTGATCATTTTCTTTCTCCCCTTCCAGATGAAGATGTGGGAAAGAGTCCGTAATTGCTCGAAAACTATTCTGGATATCGTCATAAGGGCGACTAGTGACTAGGAATTTTAACCAGTTATCCTGTGTCCCCGGACGTGATAGGCGGTGAAACAACTGGAGCTTCTCAATCAATCGGTTCTGGTCAATCTCACGGCATTCATCAAGCGCATCGAATATGCAGATCGTCTTGCATAATTCATCAGCTAAAACGGCGCTTGTAAAAATTCTCCACTGTTCGTCAACCTCTTGTTGGAGCTTCTTCCCATTTTTTCCCCAAGACGGTATGGCATGACGCAAGAGCTGAGGCCGCTGGCTAAAAAGCTGATGGAGTACCGAGCAAAGCGCTAAAGCAAGGTGATTCTGTTCATCATTGTCTTTGAAAAAGAAGTAACAGATTGTCACTTCTGGACAAGAAATTTCGAAGCAGTCTTCGATTATCGATCGGGAAAGTACAGACTTCCCACAGCCTGGGTCGGCAGACACCCAGAGAAGATCGTTACAGCTGCTCTCCGACCAACGGATATATTCGGCGCTCTGTAAAGCCCATAGGCAGGTTCCTTCCACTTTTCTCGGATTGATGTTCTTTTGCTCCTCATAAGTTGATATCTTGAATGTTTGAAGACAACGGTTTTGCTGATCCGTCAAAGCAACCGCAACCTTCTCACGATGATGTCGTTCTTGTTGACTATATGCTTGGTCCAGGCGTTGGTTTGTGCCTTCTATTTCGGCCTTCAACCCGTCTACATAGAGCTTTATAAGCAAGTGATCATTAATCCAGGACTAGCTAAGCTTGTATTGATTTCACTTACTGCATATATCTACTACCAAGCTCTCCTGTGAAATATGGCCAACAGGGACATAGCCCAGCAGCTCTTTTGTATATGCTGCGGCTGCTAGGGCTGCATATCCCTGCCATTCCTTGTTCTTGTGCGAGTCGGTATAATCACAAACACCGCGGATGACAACGCAGGGAAAGTCTAGCATAAGACCAGCCGCCTCCATCTCGAAGCACAATGCCCCAGTATCCGAACGAAGCTGGTCTCTTGATCGCCCGTGCTTGATGACCTTATTACCAGAAGCAATGATACCGTAATGGGGCTGTGGATCATTGTCCTCGCGTTCACCTCTGGTCTGTTCCCATTCCGCTGGACATCCATCACAGCTGCTCGCACTAGTAGGATGATCATGGTTCACCTGAAAGAGTCGATCAGACTGTGCAGTAGGCCGGCCAAAATTTTTCCGAGTTCGAGCGGTTCTTCCGATCGCGTTTTGGAGATATTCCGGGTAGCGGGGGTCATCTCTCAGCCCGGCAGCTCTCATCGTGCCAACTGCGGTTAATAGTGCCCTCGGCGGACTGTTCAACGAGCCAGTTCGTTCGAATTCGCCATCTGCGATAATCTTGCCCATATCATATTGAATCACCCCACCGCAAGTGCCTTGGGGACAGCTAATCACGACATCGCCGAGGCGGATATCATGAGCAGCTGAAGGAATTCCACCCCCAATACCGACCATCAGTCCGATTCGAAGTGACTTGGAGAAGGTGCGAAGCATGTTGTTTGCGACCGTAGTAGCAGAGGTGGTTCCGTACTGGCCTCCAGGGAGGCAGGCGATCACGACAAAATGTTTACCGATTCGGCCTAACGTGTAGGTATTCGAATCCGCTGCATCTTGCTCCTCGAGAATCCCAAAGTGCTCATCTAGCATTTCGGCGGCGGCTGCAGCCTCGATCGGAAGAGCACAAATCCAGCCAATTTGGAAGGCATCTCGCGGAGGATAGGCCATGGAGAAGGTCTAGCGTGGTTTCGCGAGAGGAATAGTGCATCGACGAGAATATCAGGGAAAGTTAATTAGCGACACAGGTTGACGAGTCATCTACTGGATTACAGGGAGAGAAGAGCCCCATTGCAAGGCAGACAGCAGCAGCCCCGCCGCCAGCAGTAGAGGCTCGCCCAGGCTGAGGGAGGAGCACAGGGCGGCAATAGAGCGAATGCTATTGGAGAAAGCGACCAGCCTGTAGCTTGGAGAGCCGCACGTGACAATGTGGTCCGTGACTGACGTGGCACGACAGACAGAACCCGTCAGCAATGGTGGTGGCTGCAGCACCGCCGGTTAGATATGGCACCAACACTTGAACCATGGCGACTCGAGCTCATTCGTGACATGATACAAGACTCTCAATCGTATACTAACGCAGAAATCGCCAAAGCTGCCCATTGTACCCCACGATCAATCAGCACTGCCCGCTCGAACCTACGATGCTTTGGAAGTGTCAAGGCCCCTCCAAACGGTATTGGACGACGACGGACGATCACCCCACCGATGCTTGAAGCTCTCTGTGAGCGCCTCCTCGAAAAGCCAGATCAACCAAGATGAGATGGTGGTCTTCTTGTGGGATGAGTTTCGCGTCCTAGTGACTATATATAGCATTGGCAGAGCACTCGCATCGGTTGGATGGTCTAAGAAAGCCGCAAGGCGGATAGCGCGAGGACAGAATACGGAACTTCGGGACTTCTATCTTCACACCATCTCGTCTTTCCGATCCTACCTCCTGGTATACGTGGATGAGTCAGGCTGTGATAAACGAGCGGGTTTCAGACGGACCGGGTGGTCCCCACTAGGAGTGACACCTGTCCAGATTTCTCAATTTCACCGCGGGCAGCGTTACCAGATACTTCCCGCATATGCCCAGGATGGCGTAGTTCTTGCACGAGTCTTCCAGGGATCGACCGACGCTGTTGTGTTTGAGGATTTTATACGGCAACTTCTACATCACTGTGGGAAGTGGCCAGAGCCGAAATCCGTTCTTGTAATGGATAATGCCTCTTTCCATCGTACGGAGGGTGTTCGGCAAATTTGCTCTGCAGCTGGGGTCAAATTGGTGTACTTGCCACCCTACTCCCCGGATCTAAATCCGATCGAGGAGTTCTTTGCTGAGCTTAAGGCGTTTATTAAACGACATTGGCTGACGTATGAAGAGAACTCGGGCCAGGGTTTTAATACTTACCTCGAATGGTGTGTTGATGTAGTCGGGGCAAGAGAGAAAAGCGCGAAAGGCCATTTTCGGCATGCAGGCTGAAATATTGAAGAACCGTGACAATCGAATATATATCTCATCCATTCTATCTATAGTCTATGTTCTATGCCGCACTTACAATGCTCGACCCAATAATTGATGTCCCCGACAAAACGACGAGCAATGCCTCTTTTGATGCCATTCCTGATGAAAAAGCCCGGATCCTGATCCTTGTGGATCTGCACAACATCCAGTCCATCTTCGAGGGCAGTATCGCGAGCTTTGCGAAACTCTGCCTTTAGTTTCTCATCATTCACTTGGGATTGCTGCCAGTCACTATATTCAGCAACAGCAAGGTCCCGCAGACCAGGGATCTCGAGAAAATCCGGAGGCGCTTTTCCTGGACCCGTAGTCGGCATCGGAGTCGGTGTAGTCGGCACAGAAAGAGGAGAAGCCTGCGCAGGAAGGACGTTGGTAATGTTTATAGGGGGATATCCATTGGTGGACTGAGTGCCTCCCTTTTGCCTCTCAAGTCGCTGCTGCTCCTGTATATATAGCCTTTCACGGATTGATTCAGGGACGTCGTCGTGGGTTTTCAACACACCACCTTCCTCCGCGTAGCTCACAAGGGCCCTCAGATTCTGTACTGTCAGCTTAATATGCTTCTTGCTTATAGGGTCACGCCAGCAGTGCGGTCCCAGCTCACATGCTCCACTAGAGCACCGCATCAGACTGTAAACATGGTCCCAAGTAGGAGGTTGCCCAGTGGCCTGTTCTTGTGCATTGATGTCTGCTTGCCGCTCAAGCAACATAAGCTGGGTAGCAGATGAAGTCCCTCTTTTATCTGTCCTTCTTGGGCTGGCCCTTGGGACGTGACTGCCCTCGGTATAGTTGAATGACATATTCAGTGTTAGTTTCTTCCCAGCACGGAAAAGGTCGCCCCACACCAGAAGCTGTTTCTCCACAGCAGGCCAGTCCATTTCGGTTTTGTCACAAGAGAGAGTGAGGTCTGGCTGATTACGATGATTCACCGATACAAGGATGGTTGTATCATCTAATTCAACACTTTTCTGTGCAAATTTCTTGCCCACAACTTCCTTTAACTTGGGCTCTAAAAAAAGACGCCAGTAAAACCGCGGAGCCAACACCAGGTCTTGCTCTGTATTTTTCCGAATAGTTTTGTTGTTGAGGGTTATCTTCCACAAAATCGAATAGTGAATACAGGTAGGTGGAAGCTCATCGTACAATCTTCCTTCTTCCCACTTACCCAGCTGAAGTAATTGAATCTGGTTTATTTGAGGAGATCGGTGCTGCGGGGAGAAGTCGTCATTTGGGCGGTCTTCCGGGCTAATCAGACTCATCACGGAGGGTGTCTGGCAGACGCCATATCCGGGGGTCGGGGCATATTCTGGGGTCGGGGCAAAGAGCGAGGATTGATCGGGTTGGTCATACGAATCAAATAGCAGTGGATCATTCTGAGTGCTGAATGGGCTACGGCTCATATTTGTGCAGCTATTTAGCCAATAATTAACATCATCATACATCAAGAGGCTCTCTGGGGGGTCGTTCGCTTCGGTTGATACTCGTTGATTCTTACCTAGAGAAAGCGGCCGCTGAAAAGAGAGCACAGGCAAACAAGAAGTTTCGTGGAGTAAGCAGCATCGGATGACAGCGTTGTTAGGTTATACAAGCGTTCTCTTCGATCTGATCGGTGACGACGGAGCCCTGCGAGAGGCGATGAGGTTGGGACACCCAGAAAGCAGGCACAGCACAGTGTTTGCCTTGTTTGCACGTAGATCTTCCAGGTTCCAGGGAATTCCATAAGCTGATCGACCACTATTCCAAATCGGGAATAGATGTAAGCATCTAATATTGGAAGCCCTCACAAATCTGCGTCTTTTTGCCAACACAGAATATCATGATCGAAGAGAAAAAAAAATAAAAAATTTCAATTGAGGTCGAAACAACAAGGACGCAATGATGTAGGTAATAAACATCATATCGTTGGTTTCCGTGTTGATGCTATTTACAAATGAATAATGCATGGATGAGTCTTTCAACAGTCCCGCAGTCAGTAAGTTGAGGGCCGCGCGATGGGTCTTTAGCAGCCAATTATTCTACATGACGCGATATCACGTGATTTGTTCATGCCTCAAGCATACCCTGCAAAAAGGACAGTTTCATAATATCGAGTAACTCTAATACCGTAACTCTGGGTTCTAATACCAACGAATACGATGGGCTGTTATTCCGTTACTAGTCTGCTTGCAATAAAATTTACGCGCTACTTCCTTGGCAGTGGGGCCCGAGAAAAGAAAAGCAGTCATCAGGGTAGAAGCCGTTTTCGCTATCGACTGTATAAGTTATTTGTCCTTGTATTTTTGCCTCTTGTCATGAATGAACGCAAATGGCCATTTTATTGCGATACATATCGAATTCCTTAGTAAATGACGACCCAGTCTATTGCTCCAACGAAAGTAAGTATCTGACGTCTTTCTTTGTCTCTTAGAACGCTGCACTATTTTAGCACTCTAAGTGGAATTTTTCAAGACGTATTAGATTGCTACTAGGCTGTCAATAAAGCAAACTACGGCGAGTTCATAGATATTGACTGAGACGAAATAAATCAGACTTGCGCAGATCCAGTAGAAATTTTCCGCTTTCGTACGTATGTTTCTGGGGTTTTGTCTGCTTGAGAAAGACGACGTTCGATATCAAAATCAGGCGAGTCAGAGAGTAGCTTGCTGAGATTGGCGTGTCCGTGTGTGGAGACGTTGAAGTCCGGGTGTTGTGTTGAGAGATGCTCACTCACATCAGACAACCTGGCCCATCCACGGTTATCGAGGGAGGTGTCTGCCGTGTTCTGCTGCCGAATAGCAAATTTATCACCTTTGTTGGCCTCTTGAGCTGAACTACGGCCCTCAGGAACCTCAGCCCTATCTGAATGCGGCACAAGCCTTGAAGGGTGAAGGTCTTCGGTATAAATGAATTCATCACACGCAGCGACGAAAGCTTCAGGCGTCTTGTGCTGTCCAAATCCATATACCTTCAGTCCAGTCTCGCGCACTCGTGTGGCTAATGGGGTGAAGTCACTGTCGCTAGAGATGAGGCAGAAGCCATCGAAGTGGCTCGAGTACAAAAGGTCCATCGCGTTGATAATCATAGCTGAGTCGCTTGAATTTTTTCCATGAGTGTACGCAAACTGCTGGATAGGTTGGATAGACTGATTGAGAAGCTCATTCTTCCAGGCTTCCATCCTATGATCGGTCCAGTCCCCATAGGCCCGCTTTACATGAGCTGTGCCATACTTGGCGATCTCTGTAAGTAACAGTCCAATAATAGAGTATTGCGCATTTTCAGCGTCAACCAGAACCGCAAGTTTGGGAGTGGTATCACAGGCCATGTCAGTATGCGCGTACAGAAGAGGGAGGTTCTCGTGATCGTTGTCATCGTCAACATCGAGCATCACTCTCGTGTTACACTTTATACTCCAGCACAGTTACATGCTCCATGGTTCAACAACGTACTTGTAATTGATCACCTGGTCTTTCGTAGGTTCGGATGAACGTGGAGTTCAACATGATGAGGGAATAAATAATCCAACACGAGGCTCTTCGCACTTGCGACCAATTACACGGTATAGATGACTGCTTCTTGACACATGATGATACGTTCATTTACGAGTTATGATGCGCAGTGATGATGTTTCGCCACATACACTCAACCGAGGATATATCAGTATGACAAGGATACAGTCCTAAATCACTTATGTGTGAAGAATGCTACAAAAAAGATTGTTGCAAGTTAGGCCAATTTCTTGAAGATACAAGAACAATGCAAGGTTGGCGGAAATGTATTCTGATACACACGAGCTCGCTTGAGATAGGGCCGTAGGGGAAACAAAGAGCGAGAGATTCAAGGTAAACTCGTTTTTAATTTCCCGGTATACCATCCTTAGGGATTTAACCACCTCAAAGAGCTGTTTTCAAGGCGTGTGGCGAAAATAACTTCTTTCAAACCGACCACATTGGGGCACCATTTGAAACGTTGACCAGACTCTGTTTCATAGTGACTCCAATTACGCTTACTGTAATGAAATGCTTAAGCTTGAAGAATAACTATTCAGAATCATTCAGCCTATGTCGTTCAGGTTAGGCTTATGTGACCTCTGAGATAGCGCAATAGTGATAAGCAAGGAATAAACAGAGGAGAGTTAGCGTGTGGAGTAGTTTCGCGTAAGTTACAATATCTCATGTTCCAGACCCTTACCGTTAATTACACGAGCTATTCGAGGAAGCGGTCTAGAAAGCGGGGTGAGCACGGTCTGTATATTAGGACTAGCGCAATTCTGGCTCACACTTAAGAGTCAAGTTAGAAGAGTTTGGTAGTATGAATGATTTCGAAGACTACTGTAGTCATATGCAAGAAACAGAGCATTCGATCGCATTGGTATAGGAGCTCTACCAGACAAGACATTCGCTCGCTTCGCATTCGAGTGGTGGGCATCTGAGGGTGTCTTCGTGTTGTGGGTCCGTGTCAGCACTATTGATCCAGTTGGACGAGATGTTGTACTTTACGTCGTTCACGAAGGACCTCTCGAGTGTACGGTTGAGACCGATACTCAATTAGGATCGTGATCGCACTAGCTTACCAACTGGATCACTGCCAATTCTCTTCGGCAATGCAGTTACCAATATGCCATGTCGCATCCAGGTTCGTCGCACTCTCCGGTTGTCGCTTCGAAGAAGCCACGCTGGGCGCACCAGACAAGTTCCCAAGACGGCAAAGGCGCGTGACGAACCACATATGGCAAGGAATTGTTCAGTCGTATTGGGAGACTGCTTCGTGTAGACGCCGAGATGTTGAGGCACTTCGCCGTTCAGGGTGTGAAGGCAGTGAGGAGGGCGGGAGACGCGATGGAGCGCGTCGTAGTGTCTTATCTGACTCGGCGAGAATAGGTTATCCGCCACAAGAGTGTTCGCGGGTGCAAGGGCTGCTTCTCCAACGGCATGAAATGTCAGTGGTGTTTGTGTTTTGGGGCACAGACTTGGCGCCAATCATCGGACCCGGCGCAACAGGAGGCGCGATATTCCACTCGCCTCATCGTGGACAACGAACGTCTGGAGCTTATTCGTCCTGTTGTTGGCCCGCAGCCTTGGTTTGCAATGATCCACATAGGTACAGGATGGATGGATGGATGATTTCATTTACCCTGACCTCTCGCTTTTGGCGATATACAGGCTACAACAACTATATATATCCGTGTTCGTACACGTAGAGTGATCCACTTCCTGAAAACGAACTTAGAGCCTCGTCGAGGCCTATCGTGGCCTAGTTGCCGCTCGCGTTGTTAGGCTGCCCTTATGGCGCGCGACTTTGAAACCGCTGTGACGCCTCAGTGAAGTCCAACACGGCATTCACCGTTTTGGTTCGCGAGACGGTGTCTGGTTTACCTCTCTCACCTTCTTTGGAGCCTCCCAGCGGACTCGATATGCTGCTAAATGCGTCCCCAACCTTCATCCTTAATTCTCTTCTCAACTCCTGCAGTTTTGGACAGTCCACCAGGACATGAGTGACTGTTTCTTGCGCGCCGCACACGCAGTGATCGTCATCACGGAAGCCAATGGCGTTCCTGAAGGTGGATAGCCAATTATGGCCCGTGCGTAGCTGTGTCAGCAAGTATGCCCGGCCCCTAGGCAGGTTCCCATAGAGCTTCCTGGTGTAGGCTGCCGGTAGAGTGCTATCGATTTTCCGCAGGTGACCGCCTTTGGTGGATGATTTCCATTCCCGCCCCCACTGAGCGCGGATGTTATCGCGAATGAGCGCCTTCGTCCTTGTCAGCAAAGGGCGGAAGGGGTGTGTCTTGCCCGGGCTTGCTGCGTCCTTGGCCAGCCGATCTGCCGCGTCGTTTCCCGGGTTGTCGCAGTGTCCGGGTATCCATTGGAGACGGAGCGCGATTCCCTTCGCTTGAACCTCCGTGGCCGCTTGGAGGATCGCGTGGATGATGCGTTGTCCTGATTTGTTTTCTGGGTTCTGGATTGCTTGCAATGCTGATCTGCTGTCGCAGAGGATCGTTGCGGTCGTTTTTCCCTTATGTTCCGTTCTTGGCCGCTGGTTGCTGATCTTGAACACTGTGCTGACGGCGTAGAAAATGCCTATCAGCTCTGCTACGTGAACCGACCACCGGTCCATCGGTCCCACCTGGACCTGTTGGGATTCGATAACCTCCAGGTTGTTGTCGAGTGCTACGGCAGCGGCGCCCAGGTGGTCTTCGCGTCCCGAGGCGTCAGAGTAGACCACAATGGTGGACATGGATCGCACGGTCCTAGCCCGTTCTGTTGCCGACTCTCGGTCTGACCCGATCTCAATCTCCGTGAAGGGCTCGGCCCGCCACGGCGGAAGCGGTCGTGGGTCGATCGTCTCTAGTTCATCCAGCCTTACTAGGTCCATGGTCTTCAGGGCTTCCGCCAGACATAGGTACAGGATGGATCGAAATCAGTTTCACCACTTGCACATGGAGATTCTTCTCCAACCCTGTCCCGAAACACGCTATACCTATTACGGTTAGTTTTCCCCTGAACCCCTTTCTTGGCAGGATTCCAGTACAGGCGTAAATAACACCTTAATCTGTATTAGACCCGTACCATCTCCAGGGGTTCTAGAACGTTGATCTAGCAAACAAGGCAAATAGACAGTAGGGAGCCATCTCAAAGCTGCGGACCTCAACAAAGGTGATTATTAGACCATGCATTAGTTTTACCATAATGGCAACAAAATGAGATCTCGCATCTCCAATAGCACACTTGAAACGGGGGAAAGGGGGTAAGATTAGGCTGCTCATCGCAATCTGGGTATCCAAACTCGAACTCGGATCAATATAGTTCCCAGGAAAGCGCTAATCCCACCCATGCCACCCAGGATTCTGCCCTTTCTTTCCGCCATTTCTCCCCTCAGGACTCCTAGGAGCTTCAAATCAATCGATGCTGACTAAGCGGTCAGAGTGACCAATCAATGTATCGGGAGGCGAAGCGCTTGGCTGAGCAAGGCGCAATGTTCGCATACTGATATTTAAACCCCACGACCACCCCCAGGGCGACTCGATCCATTACACACCAGTATTCCAAAACCAAAATGCCTAAGAACACCTGTGCTCGTTCGTGCCAAATTTTGGCCTGTATACACTCCAACCTTCCGCAATCGCCTCAGAGGGACACCAAGAAAACCGCAGATTCAATTGCTTATTCCACAATTGACGTCCATAAAATCAACACCATCCCTCCACTAGTTGCTCTACCTTCTGAACTGCTCTTAAAAATCCTCGGAAATTTGCAAGATCTCGAAGACTTTTTCTCTTCAATACTTGCCTGCCGCCGGATTTTCGATGTTTTCCAAGAGGCACAAAGACCACAAAGACTACTAATCGAGTCAACTTTCGCCAAATATCTTCATCTAAGGACCGACTGGGAAATCTACAGAGTGCTGATCCAGCTCAGTCAGATTATCCGACGAGATATCGTACACAGAGACATTGTACGGCACATCTTTGAAACCGGATGGGAAATTTTCAGACAAAGACATCAAGAGGAGCTACTTATTCCATTTGGAAGAGCCCTCGCATGGTCCTATGTCTTGAATGAACGCCAAGCTGATGCAATCTGTCTTTTGCAACTGATACAGAAGGGAGAGCCACCCTTTGGATGGTCGACAAGAACATCGTCACAGCAGCCTATTCAACCGATCAGAGAGCTTTTGGACCAGCTAGACTCGGAGGAGAACGGTGTTGATAGAATGTACATCAGCTCTGACTTGGACCATCCGCTGGTTGAGATTAACGGAAAATCCAAACCAAGTCTCAATGACAAGGAGCGGGCCATTCTTTTGAGGAATGGAATCTTATTCAGGGAAAACTCAATTGTGACGAGAAAACGCAAACCTTGTCCGCCGAGGGCCTCGTCCAAGCCTATGTTTTTTTCCAGTCTTGCCTACACTTTTTATCGCAGATGAATCCCCAATGAGACCATGAACGGGGACGCTGTGGAAGCTCTAGCTCATCAGCTCCCAAGGTCATGTGCGGGGGATGGACAGCACGGGTCTTTACGCGGCCTATGAATGGCGGGTAAGTCGCTGGCAAAGCCTGTGTCAAGTAGGCTGCATTCTATGATTGCGAACTGCTGATAGGGGCTGCATGATGCCACTTAAAGCGACCAGAATGCCGTTTCTCAGAAGCATAGCTAGATATTTCGTCTCTCGGTACTTGGAATTGATCCACAATATATTGGTAACTAACTTGTTATAGTTAGTAACTA